AGGAAAAAAAAATCGGCTGTTTTATTGTTAATGGTTACTGCGATCACTGTCAAACAGTATTCGAAGCAATGGGATGTTACTACCACTTCTGTTCCTGTTAAAAAACCTCGTCCCTCCTTAACAGAACAGTATATTGAGAGAGGAAACAAGAAGAGAGAGATGGATGATATGCGACGAGAATACATTAAAGAGAAAGGATACAAAGTGATGGAATGTAGAAGTGTGACTAGTGGGATAAATTCAAAACCAATGACAAGATCAAAAATCACGTCAGAACCCACTTTCCCTTTAAAAGACCTCTTTCCACAGACTCCCTTTAAGCAAAAAAAAAGTGGATCTCTTTTTGGCTACATTCAGTGCGATTTAGTTGTGCCAGATGAGCTAAAATCACAATTTGCCAACTTTCCTCCAATTGTCAAAAACACTGAAGTTGGAAGAAATGATTTTGGAGACTACATGAACAACTATGCAATCGAGAACGAAATTTTAAAGTATCCTCATAGAATTGCTGATTTCGAGTTTGAAGCTAGAAAATGGAACGGTTATAACTTTTCTGTTCAACTTTTAGTTGGAGCTTGGCTTGCAACGCACCAAAATTTACCGTTTTTTTCAGTATACTCCACGGAAATGTTTCAATAATTTCGTTTAATTAGTGGTTGATTTGAGGAGAGAAGGAGATGAAAACCCTCTATCAGGAGTTGTAACAGAAACAAAGAAACTTTTGGGTAATTCCTCGTATGGATATCTGATCATGGATAGATCGAGACATACAATCACAAAATATCTGAACGATGAAAAAACCCATAAGGCAATCAATGACCCATTGTTCAAAAGATTCAATACAGTTGAAAAAGACTTGTATGAGGTGGAGTTGTTGAAACAAACCATTGAACATAGAGAACCCATCATCGTTGGATTGTTCATACTGCAGTATGCGAAACTGAAAAAGTTGAAACTCTACTATGACTTCTTTGATAATTTCTGTGATGAAAAAAATATTGAAGAGTTGGAGATGGATAGAGACTCCCTTTTCGTTTAGGTCTTGTTGAAGAAAATTTATACGACTGTATCCAACCAGAAATGAGAGCTGCTTGGGACAAAATGAGGGAAAATTACTGCAGAGACTCTTTCAAGGCGGATGCAAAATCTAATTTCTTCCCTCCAACGTGTTGCAGTACGCATAAAAAGTATAATAAACGGGAGCCGGGACTTTTTAAAGAAGAATTTAGGTGCGCAGAAATGCTATGTTTGTGTAGCAAGACATATAGCTGCTATGACAACAAAACAGACAAAATCAAATTCAGCAGCAAAAGATTCAACAAGCGAGTTCTAGAAGATTCTAGTGAGGGCCCCATGTCACATTACAGATTAGTGCTTGATGAAGAAATTAATCTTACTTCTACTAACAGAGGATTCAGAACTATAAATCATATGGTTGCTACATGTGAACAGACAAAAAAGGACTTAGTTATTTTTATCCAAAAAGACAAGTTCAAGATGATGGAATTCATACAAAACCATTGAAATTATAAGAAATGATCTGAACTAGTAAAGTTATTCATGATGTCGTATTACATTGGTTTTATGATATTAAAACGTAAAATTTTGCGTTAAACTTGTTATACAATGCAGTGATTTATATACTTTTCTTGTAATTTAATTTTTTTTCTCTCAAAAAATTTGACTTTTTTTGAAGTTTCAGTCAGCTTCAGCATAGTTTCAGGCAGATAGAACACTGTTTCAAAAAGTAATAAAGTAACTACTAGTTCAAGTTATACCAAAAGTGTCGTGTTTTGAAGTTTTTTTTTGAAAAAAAAAGTTAATTTTTTTGAAAAAAAAATCTCTATTTTTGCTCAAAAATTCCTACCATTGATTTATCAAAAATTTAATCAAAACCCCTTCATTCCACATTCTACACGTAATTAACAGTTAATTATTCCCAATTAGATAACGCGCGCCGTTATCTAATTATTTCCACACAAAAACCAAAAAAAAACTCGTTTTTCTTCCCATTATCTTACCATCACACAAACCATGAAACCTTACCATTGGTATTCCCTATATTAATTCATAGCATGGCAGACCGGAAACCTATAACGTACCTTAATACATGGGGTCTGCCATACACCCCCCTCCTCCCACTTAACCTCCAACATCCACTACTCACCACGTCAAAACTCTCACATTTCCAGGAAGGAAACGAACTGCAAAAACAGTTAGAAAAAAACTCATTATACAATCTCTCAAAACCGTTTCACAAGACTCTCTTACCGGAGCTAACCTCGGAAGATACCTGGATGGATCGGTTCAGGAGGGTAATCGAGAGAGGGGACAATCATGAATTTGAATTGATGGGACAATATACGAATCCGTCTTGGAACCAGACGGCCGTGCAAGATGACTGCATATTAGCGGACAACCGGCTAGCCGTACCCGTACAACTGCGCCTGGCTGTTTTGAAACGAATTCCGGACAAATACTGTAGTTGCACCAGAAATGGTAAGATTGCAAATTACCAAATTTCAAAAAATGCATCATAACCTCTACCTATGCTTACTCTGCCGGGTCAGGAACTCCACTTAGTTTACGCGGAACCAAAAGAAAACCATAACGGCAAAAAATATACATGTTAGTATTTATCTAGCTATCAATAAATTTTCATTTCTGTCGTTAACAGTAACTAAATCAATGAGTGGAAAGTCGAGAGAAAATTTTTTGCGTTCATATGTCACAACACACGACATTTCGGAATCGATTCGATCAGACCAGTGTCTGGCTTCAAGGGAGAAACACTTAAGAACTTTTGTACAGAAAACAAAATTGATCAACAATTTTGCCCAGACGGAGACAATCGGTGTTGCGGACTAGTAGAAAGAACCCTCACATTTCCAAACGATAAAGGGCAGGCTGAGTGTACTGATATCAGAAGAAAAAAAACGTTCGATCAAACTTTGCCCAACTCTGCACAAATATCCGCCATTGCAGCTGAAACAAACCAAAATCATTGAAGTTTCTCCGTTGCAGGCACACTTCGGAAGACAAACAAAAACTGAATTTAGAAAATGATAGGTATATAAAACAAACTCTGACTATTTAGACAAATAACATCTGAAACGATTGGAGCTAACAGCATCTCAGCTCAAAAGGAGAATCGACCAATCAAGGGAGAAACTCGAAATCGTCAAAAAAGGGACCCAGAGCAGAGACACGAGCCTGATGTTTAAACAAAAACTCATAACAGCGGGAGACAGGGAACGATCAAAGGTGCTAAAGTACTTTTTGTAGGAGAACGCCAGATGTAACGAGGAGCGTAGAGGTGCACCGAATATTGTATTTGGCAAATTGTAGACGCAGCAGGACAATCAACCCCGGAACTCAGAAGAGAGATGACCTTCTCCTGGGGGAGTTTCTTTTTGACAAAGAAGAAAAAACCGCCCTCACTTAAAAAGACGATACTACAAACGGACGACCTCAGTAAAAAGGGGCAAGAACTGACGAAACCCTTAGAGGGGAAAATTGCTTTAGAATCTAGGACCACAATAAAACCGTCTGGAGGATCGATATACCGGAAAACCGACATTGCGGAGGTCAAAACCAGAACCAGTACCAGTACAAGTTTCGAGTGAAAGCCCACCAGCGGAACCGAAGAAGAAACTTTAAAAATTAGCTCACCAGAGAGGCTCGAAGAGATCGATTAAGAGGAGCAACTGCAGCCTCAACAAGCCAACCCATTGTCCCCCAATGGGAGGTTCCAGCAGAGCCAAACGATCGTTACATCACAAGAAACAGAAGCAAGAGGGGGACTCAAATTGGCGGTAAAACGGACCATAGCGAACAAAGGTGGACCAAATTCAGCAAGTGGACCAAATACACAAGAAGAAATAATCCAGAAAAATTCCAAAAAGAAAAAGAAATCTGTACAAGAAGCCCGAAGTGAAAAAGCTGCTACGGCACCCAACGATCGAGTGACAGAAGAGGCGGAAAAAGAGATGAAGTCACAATCCAGCTCAATTCCCCGAGATGAGCAAAAAGGGGGGGGGGGGGGGAATGAAGAAAGTGGAATTGTCTATCAAACCGGAAGAGTTACTGGACACCTGTCAGAATCGGGATTTAGCCCCAAGCGAATGGGATCACTTAGACGACCAAGTACTAAAAAGAGGAGTACAAAAAATGGCGGGCCAACTCCGAGGGAAGAATCAACCGTAGGAGAGAGTGACGAGAGATTTGACCCGCCAACAGGCGCGGAAAATATTGGCAGAGGAACTGACAGGAGGGGCACTCCTAAAGGCGGCCCTACAGGAAAATTGGGGACGTTTGACATATTTCAAGACAAGGAATGATCTCTCGATCGAAACGAGACTGGGACTACTAGAAAGACATCTTTTCCGTAGCAAATTTGGAAACACGACTCTGCACGAGGAATTATACTAGAACCCCAACTGAAGAATAATTTTAGACGAAGATTCAGAAGAGAAAGATGAAAAATAAAAATTGCAATCGAAAATAACACTTTTAAAACTGAGAATAAAAATCCTTCCTATTGTTATTAAAAAATTATGAACAAAAAGAAAAAACCTTTTTCACTCGAGGGGGTATGTGATACTGCTACTGTTACGTAACCTATATCTCTATATTTTTATATCATATTATATTGTCCAAGGTCACTGTGGCTCAAAACTTCGGTATCCGTTGAACCAATCAGACCAATTTCAAACCGTTTTGATCACAGCAACTCTAACAGAGAAAAACTTTCATACGAAATAACACTTCAGTTTTTTGGAATTGTAAATCAGTTTTTATCTCACTATAGTCCCGTAGGATATCACAACCTTGCACTCTGCATTGATTTGCATATGTAAAAAGCCCCAAATATAAATCTTAATTCGAGCTATAATGCCTCGAAATCAGGTCAGATAACAAAGTTAAAAGGTTAATCCTCTTTGATTTCATTTGCTATCTGCAGCCTGATCTTTTGCTGCTTCGAGAATTCCAATCAAAGTTATAAAGATGAGTTTGAATGTGAATAAGAAGTTGCGAGGGTCTTCGATCTATGCGCTTCATTTCATACAAGCAGGGTTCCTGTACACCAGTTTCCATAATTTGGCTTACCCTCTTTTCGGTCGATACTTCAATCTGGCTTCACATCAGTATTCAAGGTAACTAAAAGTCAATGTGATTATGGTTCTTTTTGCCCTGCTTGGCGCTGGCCCGGGTTGACGTCCACAATAGAAAAATGCTTATCATACAGTTTCATATATGAAGTCTATGGAAAAAATGCTTATCATACGATTTTCATGTAAGAAAATTTTAAAGCAGTCATTTTGTCATGTATGAAAATTGTATGATATGCATTTTTTTCATAAACAAAAATAAAAATTTGAGGTAAAAATTTTTTTATCCCTTTTTTGGCTGCAAACTTGCTGTTGTGTTAAAATATAAACTTTACGAAAAAAAATTTGCCTGCAAAATTTGACATTTTTGTGTTTATAACGTAGTCCAGGATGAGTTTCTCACCCAAAAAATCCAAAAATTACAAGAAAGTGTTTTTTTTTGTAAACACGATTATTATATCTTGTTTCATTTGCTAAAATAAAAATTAATTTGTAAAAAAAACAGGACTTTTTTTCTCAACCATCATAATGTGAAACTTTTCACATGGAAATATATACCAAAAAAAGTAACTGCAAATTTTACAAATTTATTTTTATTTTAGCTAATGAAACAAAAGATAATAATCGTGTTTAGAAATAAGAAAGGCAGATAAACTGCATTTGGTGGTTTTAGCCATAAAACACATGGAAATATATACCCATATTTCCATGTGAAGTTGCAAATGTGAAACTTTTCTCAAAATTGAGTTGACCAAACCTCCAAAAAATGTCCAAATCTTGATTGAAATAATTCATGCTGTAGTTCTTTTTGATACTTTATCATCTCACCTTTGGACAAAATATCTATGAAGAACTATTGAATGATACTTTGCAGAAAGTGTAATTTAAAAGAAACTATCTAGATTTTTATCTCTAACTCATTTAAATTTTCAGCCTGCGATCGCTCTACTCATTGGCTTGGGGATGCAAAATATTCTTCAGTTTCTGCAGTGACTCTTTGCCTGTTTTTGGCTACAGAAGATTGCCTTATTTGGTCACCGCTCTTTCCGCCATCTCAATTATCCTCCTAATTTTGAGTCTCAAACCCATGCCCGAACCCTATTACGCAATAGAATCGGGCAATAATTGCACTCAAAAACTATCCGACTCGCCTCAAAACCCCGAGGCTCCGAACGAAGCAACTTCATACGTGCTTCTATTTTTCCTATGGTACTGGGCTTTAGCCTGCTCCGATTCGACAATCGATGCGCTGATAACTCAGAGGTCAAAACTCGAACCCGACGAAAAACGAGGCACTTTAATTTCGTGCGCTCGCATATCGCGACAATTGGGGTCTATGTTTGCATACTTAGCAGTCGGAATTCTATTCAATACTGTAAATTATGGAGGTAGTTTTTGTGGTTTTGAGTTTAAATTCAACCATTTCACGTGGATTTTATTTGTGTTTACAATTGTCGGTCTTATTTATGCTTTGATGTTTACTAACGAGAAAGATATTGACAAGGAGAAAGAAAAAATTGAGGTGAAACGGAAGTTGGCCGAGCTGTGGTCTCTTTTTCACAAATGGTACTATTTGAAGCTCCTCATATTTGCAGTGTACATTTCTCTGATTTCGAGCATAAGGGTTAGTAAAGCTAAAAAGCAGAAACTATTGAAATCAGGGGCGGATTTAAGGGGAGGAGGGGGGGACGCCTTCTCAGGTATTCGACCCATTGCCGACCCAAGATCTAATACCAATCTTAATCTTACTCAAATATCTCCGAGTCTCAATAGATCTAGTGCATACTGGTTTTCGCGAGTTAGTTCTTGGAGTTTATCCAGAAGAAGAACAACTGTATTCAAAGTTGTATTCAAATTGTTCTGGTACTGAAACTACAAGTAGTTTCAGCACTTACAAATAAGTGTCAAGGTTAGAAATGGAATATGATTGGTTTTTAGTAATATTTTATAGTGATAATTTATTAATACCATAATTGGCTTATAAATACTAGTTTAGAACTGGTTTCACGCATCCGGGCCTTAGAGAGTTTTTAGTTTTTAATTGTTTATTGTAGTGAAGGACGGGTGATGTAGTTTTCTGTAGAAGTTGTAAGCAGTGACTTCTTGGAGAGATGACAGATTTAGTTGTCTGTGTTGATGGAACAAGACTGTTTTGTTCGTGTTTTAAGATGGGTCTCGTTGATCGTTGGTAGTCTTGGGTGATTGTGTCATGACTTCTGATCGATGTATCGATTTCACTAAGTTTAGAGCGAGACTACGTGCAGGCTGAAGTTTGACTTTTCCGTGCAAAATGTCAAGTGACTAGGATTGGTATGTGAGAACAACATCGAGGTGGCCATTGGTCTGGTTCAATGGGTTTCCTTTGCTGCTATGTTGAGTCCATACTTAAAATCCTTTGAGGACAGTGACTTTGGCAGCAAACCAAATAAATTTGCCATTCCAGAGTTGGAATGTAGTCGGGTTGTCATCTCCTTTGTGCTCTTTTCTTGGGCTCTAAGAAATTTTTATATATGCATTTATATGTTCACATCTTGATAGTTAAGTTTTTTTTATGACCTATTATTAATTGTTATCGCAAAAGCTTTTTTGTTTTAGTTTGGTTATTTCAAAGAGTCGCTCACCCTAGAGCAACTCTCGTCGAAAATAGAGCGTGGGTCACAAAGCTTGGTTGTGGCGCGGTGTGTTAGGCCGGCTATAGAGCATGCTCAGGACTTCCCTCTGGTTGGTGAGGCCAGGAGTAGGCTATAATTTCGTGGTCTCTTTGTGCAGAGTCTCTTTACTTGTTCAACCTTCTGTTACATTTTTATTACTTGTTTTTCTCTTTTTTGTTTTGATTGTGTCCTTTTCTCAAAAATAGAATCTTTTGGTTTGCGTTGGTCTTACGACTTTTTTGAGTTTTGTTTTGTTTTAATACAACTTGAAAGTGGTTTTCAAAAGAATAATTTATCCAGTTTTAATCTGGTTTTAATCTGGTTTGGGTACCGTGGGATTTTTTTTGAGTCATGCTAATAGTTTGTGGTTTTGTGACGTTTCTAAGCTGCGTTGGTTAGTTCAATTTACTATGTAATTCAATCCAAAGGGATTAAAGGAAAGTTTGAAACGTGTGAAAACAATTTAGAGTTGTTATCATTGAAAGTTAAAACTTAAAATTCATTATTTAGACAATTCTTTGTGGGCGAGCTGTGCGATTGTGAAAAGAGTGTGTGATTTATGGGCGAGTGAATGATTCAAATTAATAAAAGAAGCGTCTTGTAAAACGGTTAGTATTCCTTAATTTATTTGCAATCTATTATGATTTTACTACATAAAAATATTATTTTTAATGCTACGGGGGTTGAAATCTATAAAATTATTACTGTCTTGAGGTAAACTTTACTGCTTTAGAGGATTAAATTTATGAATTTACTGCTATTTAAAGGTCATTTTTACTGCTTTAATTAACTACTGCAATTGTTAATTTGAATTTAAAAGTTTTTAGAAAAAAGCTTACAATTTCTTATTTATTTTTATTTGTTTTAGATGGTTGAGTGGTAAAATCTAAAAAGGAAAATTGAGACAGTTACAAAGGATGGTTAGTTGTGTTTGAAATTTATTAGTCACAAATACCTAATTGTATTTACTAAGGGTCGTCGTCGGCAAAAAAATCCATTTGGAAAAACAGTGTGAATTGTGTCTGATGATGTTAGGAGTTTAGCAAGCAAGCGGATGACGTGTTTAGTTTGAAGGAGAGGCCATAGGAAATCGAGTGCTTTGATGATCTTGTGCTCTTCACTACTTAGTGAGAATTCATGCGGTGTGTTTTGAATTAGGTTATAAAGCTTATGGTTATACTTAGTGTTATGAATACATTCTAGGATTTGGACTTCGACGGGCTGTATATACTCGGGCAGAATATATACATTTGTTTTATGGGGTCGTCGTTTCGGATGATGCCTTGCATATTAGTGTCTTTTATACAGTACGTGAAGTTTAGCTTAGGAAGAATGGTGAATTATAATTAGAGTTAATAAATGTGAATCGGTGTTGTGGGTTTCGTGATGGTGTATAGTGGAATAATTTATCAATAATATAAATGGTTTATTAATACTAGTTTATAACTGGTTCCAATAGAGTCCCCTCTTTGTTTTTTTTGAGATATCCATCATGGTGACGGAACCTATAATCTCAAGGCGCCTCTGGTGCCAATATATACTAAGTTGAGGGGGGAGCGCGCGTCGAAGAAACGCGACTTTTTGGTCAACATTTTCCAAAAAGTGCAATAAACGCCTTTTTTGGCCTGTTTTTTCAAATTGTTTTTTCGGCCAAATAGTGCTCTGTGAGAGAAACCCCCCCCCCCCCCCCTCGATAAAATCATAGATCCGCCCCTGATTGAAATTAATCGCTACTTTAGAAGTCGCCAAAATTCACTACTTAAGAGTTTTTTGTCCGAAGATGCTTTAAAATTCGGCTCTCAGAAGGTTTTGAGAAAAGGTTTTTTTCTTTTAAAAAAAAGGTTAAAGCATTTTTCCTCCAACGGTTTACAAACCTTTCTTTTCAAAATTTTAAAAGCAGATAGAAAAGGCTCAATTATTGCAGAGTAAAGCGCGACTAACACGAGACAAACTATGGACGTCTTTCATTTTTTTTGTCTCCATTGTCCACATCTATTGCATGATAAAAAAAATTGAGAATTTCCATCAAAATCATGTTATTTCTGCATAAGACAGACGGCATGTTTGCTGATTTTTCCGTCTGATGTTTTTTTATATTTTCTGTTGTATGTCTATGAATTTCTTTTAAAAAAAGATGCTAAATGCGATTTTAATTGTTGTTTGATTGCCTTTTTAACATTTTTAAAGCTTGATTCACCAATTGAGATAGCAGCTTGCATTTGTGAGTAAAATCAGTCCAATTTTGTAATAAAACTTTAATTTTGGTTTTTTATCGCTTAGAGGGTATAACCGAAAAAACCTGAAATTTTTGACAAAAAATAAGTCTCCATAATGCTTTGAAAAAGTTCGAAAAACCACTTAGGCCACCCATAAAATGGTCCTAAAAAGTTTTAAATTTTCAACCAAAATGATCAGAAAAAATTAATAATTGTGGCAAACTTTCTTTAAAATCTTTCTAACCGCAGTCCGATCCGTTTTTACTTATGTATTGCTGTAAGCAACCCTTCGAAATTGAGTATCTCTCAACGTATTACACTGACGGAATTAATTGATTGAGTGGAATTTTTCGCTCGTTTTTCAAAAATAGCGTATCGTTATTTTAAATTTTTTTGACCCTGTCGGACCCATCTTTCACATTTAGTTCGACCGAAGAATTCGTTCGACTATCTCAGTGTGAATCCAAAACCGGACATTGTTCGAATAATTTGACCGAGCCATGAGTTGAGTACCTTAAACCAGGTAGACAATGAGAGTTTCAGTTTCATTTTAGAGCCCCGCGATTCTGAAAATTCAAATCCATTGGGCGCAAGTGAACCCGATTACCATTGGGTTTGTTCATGTTGTCGGCGGGCTTATCGCAAGTGGCGGAATGATCATCTACCTCAAATTTTTTCTCGCCTCTAATTGGCGCAAAATTCTCGCCGTAGTAACAATATTCGAAGTTTTCACAGAATTACCAGTTGTCACAATGACGATATTTGACGTGATTCGCAATCAGTACTTTTGGTTCGTCGACGACTTGGTATACTCGTTGACTCGCTTTTGGTTTGATTACGTCATGGAGCTCGTAATTGTCGAGTATGCTTCGAACGGAATCGAAGGTATCTCGTACGCTCTCGTTTGGGCTTTCTATACAATCGGCCAATCGACCGGGTCGGCTATTTCGAACTTCATAATGAGTCCATTTTGCTTGACCTCGGATGAAAGATACTTACGCGATTCAAGCGAAGATAAACTTGCTTCTTGGATAAGCTATCTTCTTTCGGTTTTAGTCCATCTCTCAACTCTAATTGTACTATTTTTGGTCCCGAAACAGAAAACGCAAGCTCTTGAATGGAAAGAAAAGTCTCTTAAGGTGGAAACACGGAATTCTTGGAATGCGCTAATTTTTGTCTGCTTATGCGTTTGTGGGCTAATTGGATCTTCTGCTTTAAATCTGATGACTATGTTTGAGACCACGAGGTGTCTAATGATTGCCGGTGGCCCAGGATGTGCATCAAATGACCAATTCGACGAAAACTCAAATTGCATATTGTATTGATTTCAACGGAATAAACAAGAAAATTTATATTTAATTCATACATTTTTCTGCCCAAAAAGTTAATTAAGGTTTTGGTTATGATCAAGGGCAGCTATAGGATTTTATCGAAATGGGGGGTGGTGCATGGATCTCTTGGATATTCAAAAATTTCAACGCCCGAAATTATTCTTTTTCGAGCTCTCTGAATGCAAAGTTAAACTTGACTTTTTAGAAAAAAAGCCAAACTACGGCTCTTGCAGGGTACTCTTTGGCACTCTGTGCAATAATATTTTGAACAAAAAACAACTTAAATCTTAAATTACTCTTTACTGATATTTCAAGAAACCTATTTTAAAAACAAAATTAAGTTTGAGCAGGATACAAAATAACTTTTACCGAAGACTAATAAAACTAGTCTATAAAAAAGCAACTTTTTAGCACGATTTAAAAAAAAAACTATTTTTGTTTAAAAAAACATTTAGGCGCGAAGACAAATTGCTCACGTTCGTGAAAAAGTTAACATTCTTAGCTAACAATAAAAAATTTAAAAAAATTTAGCTATAAATACAAACTCTTGTGAAATTATGTTAGTTTGTCAGGCAACAAGCAATTTACATTTTGATTGAAGAAAATTAGAAGTAACAATTGGAAACAACAAAAAACTCAGATATATAAAGCAAACTGAACAAAACTGCTACTATCAGGGCGAAGCCTTGAATGTTATGATCGACTTTTAAGATTTACGGAGCAGTAATAACATAAGAAAATTATAAAAGAGAAAATAAAAAAAATCTTCTAAAATTTCAGATTTTTTTTGTGAAAATCATTTCCCCACACGCCATATAAAGTACGAAAAGATAGATTTCGCTCCTTGTAACAAATCAATTCTGGCAAATAAGCTTCCTTAAAACATTTTGGAACAATTTCTAAGACGGATTAATCTCCGCTTACGCGTTAATAGCACAAAATATATTGTGCGTTAATTGTCCCAAATTGGCCAAAGGGGCAGTCTTTAAACCCCATAACTTTGCGAAAAATGATCACAGGTGAAATAACTTTTCAAGTTTAAGCTCAAGACAACAATAGCTTTCGATTGATATAAAAAATGACTAGTTCAAAGGTCGAAATTTGTCTGAAAAAAAATACCACCCGAGCACAAATATTCCGTTACTTTCGTTACGAAAGCCGGAACAACAACAATTAGAACTTACCATACAGCGGGCAGGTTGATGATGAATAAATTATTAATTGTGTCTTCGAACTAAACAAATCAAACATCAAGATCAAATTGAATCAAAAGATGACCGTTAGGAATAATTGACCACGGTTTGATATTTAATATTTTCTCCGCAATCAAAATAATAAGTCCTCGTGACCTCAGTCATACGCAATCTCCATAGTGTATTTCTGGTGATCAGAATTATTTTACATCAACACAATATAAGGACGGTTATTCTAGAAATCATTGCACGAGTCTTGCCAGATTCGTTATTAACTCCTGCGATTAATTTGCAAAATTTTTGCAAGAACTTGCTAGACAACCTCCTCTTAAATTGATATTTTTTCGATCTTCAAAGATTTGAAGAAAAAAAACAGGTTTACGGGCGAACACATCCAATTTATATTCTTGAAAAAGATCCATAGTCCTAGCTACTCACACAAACACAGCCAGCCAAGCGGTTTCTCTAAGCAAATCTATTTTTGATTAAAATAAAAATCAGAAGTAACAATAGCAAATAGTGAAAAACTTGAATTAATAAGGCTAAGAGAAAAAAAATTAAGAGTAAAGCATATGGTGAACGAATTGCTGGTGAAAATGATTGTCATTTTTTGAATAACTAATTATCAAACATCAGATTACAATTAGGGCCTCAATGAATACAAACTAATTTTACATTTTTTCTCAGCTTTCAAATTGATAATACAATTTCCGTATTGTTTTTCTGGTGAGCACGATAATTTTTATCAATGAAATTTGTCTCAGTTATCTCGGTAATTTGTTTAAAATGCTTGCAAGTTTCTATAAAAACTGTACCCCTTGCTTGATTATAGGAAATTTAACTCCCGTTTCTGGAATTACTCCAATATAACACTTTTTTTATTTTTTTTGAAACTTACCCTCTTTTTTTCAAAGTTTCAGCAAGATAGCCTCCATTTTGCAATATATTGCAAATCAAAATCCATATTGAAAGATCTTACTAGATAGCCCTCATTTGCAATAACCTGGCACAATTTCGCATGTTAACCCTCTTTGATTGGAAAAGAATTGGCAGTAGGTCACACTTCTCACCCATTCTACTCTTAGAAAGTAGTCAAAACCGTTACAAAATTATTATTTTTTTATAATTTATCACAACGCTTTACGGGGCCGTGCATTTTGTGAATTGTAAGCGGATTTCGCAACATGGATTCTCCCTTTGTTTTTCTTTTAGTGTTTCATTTTCATTGATTGTTCCGACAATATTTTAACTTGTTTAGAGACTTGTCTCTGGAATCCAGGAACTTGCAGACACAAAGCAAAGCTGTGCGTCTATTCAGTTCACAGTGTGGTCTTGTAATGCAATTAATCACTAGACCTGAAGTTTGATTCATAATAATAATCTAGGAAAACTTTCGGATCGAAAAGAAAACAACACTGCTTGTATCAAGGTAAAGCCCAAAATAATCCGATAGCCTTTTAAGTTCTATGGAAAAGTGGATACGAATTGAATGACACTGCGAAAAACTAGCAGAAGTACTCATTTGGTCCAAAAAAATTAATTTGGGCTGTAAAGTCAGTCAAAGAAACGGAATATTCGACTTTCCTCACTTCTATGACACAATGACTGACATAACGAATGATTTGCAATTTTGAGTACCCAGAGCAAATATGTTTGGATCGTGATGATATATCCAGTTTCAAATTTTCATAACAGTTTTATAAAATGAACAAACGTTATACTAGTAAAAACTCACAGGCTAGGTGCGCCATTAAAAATAAGTTCAAATTGTGTTTTTTGTGTTGTTATAACAGTTTACAGACAGATGAAGGTCAATGGCCCAGGGACGTCACATCGAAATGACCTTAGTAGCACGACAATCTACTTAAATGTCAAATAAAAGGTGTTTATTTCTTTGACATTTCATGAATTTTTGACGATATGTCAACTTGTTCATATTTCAACTTCATTAGCCCATTTATAGTTTGCAAGGCTGCGAAACAAATGAAACTGTTGCAATTAATTGTCTCTCTGGCAGGTAAGAAGAGTTTATTGTTGGTCCTTAAGAAAGAAGACGCTGACATAAACCCCACAAATCCCAATTTCTACATAAGAAAAATTTAGATGGAGTCAGAATTTAAGCAACAAGAAAATTACACGAAAATTTTTACGTTGCCGAGGAAAATTGATATGAAGATTTGCAGAAAAGCTAGTCATCGAAATTCACCCATGCTGACATTCAATTTCGTTTTCTAACCATTTTTATTCCGACCATTGAAAATGAGGAGGAATTTTGTATTCGGACGTGTTTTAGTTTTTTTCCCTTTCTTTTGGTTTTCCACGCAAAATCATCTACCACATATAGTCATCGGAGAGAGTTGAGTGGTATATCATGTTACAGCACTTTCAGTCGTGATTCGATTGACCTAAAAAAATTTCATAAATTTCTCCCAGTGTCGAGAAAAACTGGTTTAAATTTTTTGATTTTAGCTCAACTTCGAGCAAAAACGTGATCGAGTAACGTTTGTAATACGGAAATTAACTATTTTTTAAAGAATTTTTCACAAAACTGGATTTTTCAACAGTCAAGATTTTCAAAAAAAATTAAAAGTAAAACTGAAACTAATTGGAAGAAATTTAGAAAAAAATATTTTTTTAATCGGAACATTCTGTGCTACTTGGACAGCAAACGGCTCTCCTTGTCAAAAGTAGAAAAAAGTTATTGTCTAAGTGTATAAAGTCTTTAAATTTGTTCGCCTAGCCAAAATTTTTTGCTTTCAAAACTGTTTGTTTGGAATTATCAATGATATTACAATAACAATTGCGTTTTCTCCAATTACAATGCTTATACAGCAGCTCCTCATGCCCTTGTTCAAAATTTATAAGTTTTTAAAGTGGATAATTTTTGACCCCTTATTCAGAAGCCCTGTGGTGTTAGTTAAAAATCAGCGACAAGGTTGCTAGAACCACCAGTGTATTTAGGGGGAGGGGTGGTGGACGCTTCCACTTCTGGGATTCGACCCCCTGCCCACCCAAAGGATCCCCCTTTGTACTATTTTGAGATATCCATTTTTGACTCATTGACTCTAAAATTTTTCTAAAATACACTATTTTTGAGGGAAGAGCTCGCACCCAAAAACAATTTTTTGGTCAAACTTTCCAAATAAAGGCCTAAAAACGCTTTTTTTGGCCTGTTTTTCACAAATTTGCCTGCGGCGCAAAAATTTGGTAAAAATTAGTTCTTTATAGTGATTTTGGGATAGCTCATAAAATCGTTTTTGTCGATCTAAAAGAAAAGCCGTCGTCATTCGACAGAGCCATTTATGCCTTTTGTGCATTTATAGAAAAACAGTTTTTTTAAATATTTGCTAATATTTCATCTAATAAGTTGAATACAACATGAACACAGCATGGTAAATTAGTAGGTAGAGGGGCAGATAGCGAAAACTGATAAAAGTTTAGTTGGAAAATGAAGTTTTGATATGTAAAAGCAATTTATTTCGATATGTAAAAGTGGCAAAATGGGGCGTACTCAAGTCAATTCAAATTTCCAGACGCAGAGGCTCAGAAAAATTAGACTGGTTCGCCCCTTGATTCTTTTTCCTTTCCCCCCCCCACCTTACTCAAACATTAATTTTATGGTTTAACAAGTGGTTTTACAAGGTTATTTATGAAAACTAAATATGTTTGTCATGGCCCAATTAATCTGCATGTAAATTTTCATGACAATTGGACAAAGTGAGCAGTAACTTGAAATATAAAAGTTTGCAGGTGGGGGAAAAGGAAAAAGAGTCCGCCCCTTTCTCTAGCAGATTGAAGACCCAAAAATTGGGTTGACGAATCGGGACTTTTGTAAAACTTATTTGCCGCGCGAGAAACGAACCTCATCTCTGCCCGCCTAGTTCTTCTCTGCTACTTTTTTCCCGTGTTGACATCTGTACAAGAAAATTGCTTTTCACGCAACTCCTTGAATCAAGTTTATGAAACATACGCTGATTCCATATATTGAAATTATATGATTGTCATTTTTTAGAACTTCAACAAAAAATTCTAAATAGTTAAGAGTAAATAAATAACTCTTAATTCTAAAGAAGAGAGATGATTTTTTTCTTAATCGCAAAATCATTTTTCCAACCAAACGTTTTCCGAACCAAATTTTTGCCAGCCAAATTGGAGGTTTTTGTCTATAACAGTTCAGGCTTAATTTTTCATACCAAATAAACATAATACAATGAGTGTTTTGAGTGCAGCCAAAGTGTTTCTTTTTTTTGCGTTTTAATAACTTCAGAAAACTTGAAAATTTCAAGCAGGTCGCGGTTTGCAACCACTCAAGTTTTTCAAATTAGTAGCTTTCAAGCCTTTTTTTAAAATTTTGGTTTTTTGTGCTGTTTGAATTGCAACCATTAACCTAATGGAGAAACATCGAATGCAGTTTTTCAGTTTCCTTACTACCGCTTCCTCTATGAGTTTTCTCAAACCCTTTAATATTCTGATTTCAGGCAAAACACAAAAAAATACGGCGATTTTCAAACCTTCTTGTTGTATGGGGAAAACCCTAGCCATAAACATTTGATATATCAAAAAAAGATTGTCATATATTTTTCTTTAAAGTAGGAACGCTTGTCCCGAAGTTTTCCACAGTTTTTTTTTCTAACGTTTTGAATTGAAAGAAAAGGTTAACGAGTACATTGTCCTATCTTTATATTTTCTAGTTGTCAACAATCCTGATTGACCAAAATGCTAGTCATATACTCTCAACACTGATCTTAATAACCAGCAGCACAAACAAAGTGAAAGCATTGCAGCGGGTAATTAAACTAGTTGGGCCGCATTAAAAAGAACCAACTAGGTAGCCATTAGGCGCCGATATGAATCTCACATAATGTTTAAGCCCGCAAATTGTTCAGTAAACAATTAATTATTTAAATAATGCTTGACAAAAAATCAAACGCAACTGACACTAACCGTTGTATTTAAAAGGGGATGAGGTCATTTACCAGACCGACTTTTTACCAGACCACAATGCATTAGTTCAATTAAGATAATTTTAAATTAGTGGAGATTCGAAAAGGAAGTGGTTAGAACAAAAAAAATTGGCGGAGTCCCTCATACGCCAATGCTCGAATGTGCGAAAAAAATATATTAGCCAATCAGACTTTAGTAATCTAACATTTGGAAAGAAGCTTGAAAAATTGAAATTAAACATTTCCAGGGACCTAATATTGATATTAACCGAATATAAAAACGGCAGAATTATGCAAAGTTTTCAGTTTGTCGCTGACCTCCGTCGAATTGGATGAATTTTTATATTTCAGGGGTTCCGTTATGAAAGAAGCAAAATATTGCTTCTTTTAATTCATTTTAATTGAATGGCAATTGATTCTTTTCAAAAACTGACTTTCGGTTAAATTTATTTTCGGTCCTTCGACCACGAGTTTTTTGGGCATTCGGCCCTTCCCGCATGAGAACAGCCTCCACAAAAATTTGCTGAGAAATCTTGAAAGCATTATCTTCAACCAGATTAACCGGCGTCATTACATCGGTCAATCAAATTTGTTTATCGAGTCTGGTAAAAAGTCCAGGTTATAACTTTTCTGGTTAAAGGTCGGTCTGGTAAAAGGTCGGTCCCCCTTTAAAAGGGTGGCGTCCCTCTGATGGAGGTAGGGAATATCGAAAATTTATTTTTAGTTATTTTCAGCCAATCAGAATTGATTCTTCGAATGTCTCAAAGGAATCAAAAAAATACTCAGAGAAAACGAATTAATCCAGTCCATTAAAATTATTAATGACCGATCAGAAAAAAAAAGCAGTTAAGTCAGTTATAAATTATTGCGAAATCAAAGTCGGCTAATATGAAAAGCTTAATCCTTTTTTGAAAAACGAAAAAAAAACAATGGTTTTTGTATATCTGTACAAATTTTACAGCAAAACTTTGCTGTGCCGCTATAGTTCAATTTCTACTAATAATGAATTTGGTTTTGAGTGAATGACAAGGAGGCGGGTCTGATCTAGACACAGTGAACTTAATAAAGAACAAGACAAAAAAAATGAGAGCATTTTGGTGGGCAATTGAACAAATTAGGCGGTAAATAGTAATAGTTTCTCGAATTGTTTGCCCTCAAAGCGAACGAAAATAAGACTAACTGCTTTCCTAAATAGTGATTTAATATTCGGCTAATAGTTTTCTGCTAATTGGGTGCCTTGTTTCTGCATTGGCATTACAAAATTAAGTTCATTGTCTAGATCATTCCCGTTTCTTTGTCATTTACCCCAAACATATTCTTACAATAGTTAACATTTTCACCATGCCTAATTTCGTTGCATTACGGCAATGTTAAAATGAGTTTTTCAAAATTAGGTTCCAAATGAAGGGGAAGTGGGAAGAGTCGGTTTTTTCTTTGGGTGTCAGGCTATAATTTTTCAAAGTTCAAGAGTAATTTAATCTGAAACCGACACAATTTTTGATTAAAATTGTTTCGAACTTGAACAAAATAGTTTTTGCTCGACCAAAAACAATGATCAAATAATTGATTGAATGACGCCGATATAAAGCTCACGTATTGCTAAGATTCACTGATGATTCATTTCGCAATTTAATTGTCTTTTGGTTACCCAAGAAGTAAAATGTATCACTTAACTAATTATTTTAGTCAATCAATGGCACATCTCTACTGCCGTTTTGTACAGATTCTGAAAAAAATTCAAATTTTTCCTATTAAACCCCCCCCCCCATTAAATAATTTAATTATAGACTCTCCAAAATACCAAACTCACTGCTCTGAGAGGGGGTTGAACTGAATATATTTTTTTTATTCTTAAGCTGGAGCTATAGTGGGAAAGAACCAATCACCTCTGCACATGTCATGAAAATAGATATGATAATTGCATTGATGTGTTTCAGTGATGTGGCACTTGGCTGTCTGCTTCCGCTACCCCTCAGCAGACTGGGAGTCACTTGTGTTCAGACTGCCTGCTGACAATACATTCTATGGCCGCAAATGCAAACAGCACAGGTCACATAGCCACATTTATGTTCCAAATTCAGAAAAAAATTTTCTCCAGACCCTGAAGGTGCAATCTATTATATATTTATTAATTATATCAATGCGGGCTTTACTATCTCGTCATGTTAAGCTTTTTAACCAGGCGCTGATCTAGGATTTTTTTGAGGGAGCAAAATTTTTTAAACATTTCAAAAATTTTGTTGGCCTTTTTTAGGTCGACCAAATTGATGTTCCGAGTTCTCTCAAAACACTTTAAGACCCTGTTTTGGCCGAATTTTCAGCGCTGCGAGCAAAATTTTGAAGCAAAGGGCCAAAAAGGCGTTTTAGGCATTTTTTGGAAAAACTTTGGAGAGCGAACGCCCCGCCCTCCCTAAAATTTGCCCCTGTTTTCAACTTAAGTCCCTTTTTTGTCCTTTTCTACCAAAGACGGAATAACAAATCTTCCTGAAGAACACTGAATGGATATTATTTTGAGATTATTTGAGTTGAAAGTTGATTTTTTTTGTTATGAGTCTCGGATTTGCCCGTTGAACACTCAGGGGTTGTGAAGCTAGCCTTCCCAGGGAAGACACAGGAGTTGTGAACCTTGCCTTCAAGTATGGTTGCTTATTCCTTGTAGCTTTCGAGATATGATGTTCTTAAAAGATTTTTTCAAAAAAAAATTTCGAAAACTTAGATTTCAAAAAAAATTGAAAAAGCGTGGAGTTTCCAACGGTGTAGTTGAGTGCTGTTAGGGCACTTTTGGGGTTGCGAGTATTGCCTCCTATTATGACTGACTGCTCAAATCCTTTTAACTTCCAATATCTGATGTTTTTTATGACTTTTCCAATTTTTTAGCGAAAATGTAGATGCATTTTGTGCATTGTAAGCGGATTCCGACACAAGGACGCTCCCTTTATTTTTCCGACTTTCGATACGAAAGTAACGGAATATTTGTGCTCGGGGTGGGTTTTTTTTTCTTCAGACAAATTTCGACTTTTTAACTAGCCATTTTTGGCGGAATTTTTTAATATCATTCGAAAGCCATTGTTGTCCTGAGCTTAAATTTGAAAAAATATTTCACCTGTGATCATTTTTCCTAAAGTTAAGAGGGTTTAAAGATTGCCATTTTGACCATTTGACCAATTTGGGACAATTAACGCGCGATATAATTCGCGCTATTAACGCGTAAGCGGAGATTTATTCCGTCTTATAAATCGTTCCAAATTGGTTGAACGAAGCTTATTTGCCATAATTGATTTGTTACAAGGAACTAAATTTATCTTTTTGAACTTTATATGGCGTGTGGGGGGATGATTTTCATAAAAAATTTTAAATTGTAGAAAAAAAATTTTCATTTCATTTTTTATGTTATTACTGCTGCTCCATAAACCTTAAAAGGCAGTCAGAACATTCAGGTCTTCGCCTTGATACGAGCAGTCTTGTTTTTCTTTTGTTCTTTATTTTCTTTTGATTGTTCCGACAAAAATTAATTATGTTTGAAGACTTGTCTCTGGAATCGAGGAACATACAGACACAAAACTGTGCGCCGATCCAGTGAGTATTGTGCTGGGTATTGTGAGGGTGCTCTCAGGAATGCAAATGATTCCTCTGATTTTGACTGCTGAAATCATTTTAATTTCTGAGACCTTATTCAAAACCTGATTGAATTCTTTGCGAATTATTCTTTTCCAACAATATAATGAGGCAATTCAATCTCAGGGTACTCTCTGAGGTTGCAATTTTTTTCGTTCAAGTTTGACTGCTGAAATAAACTTAATTTTGGGTTAATGTCCCTTTTTAAACAAAAAAAATCGAAAAAAGCAAAATTTTTGACGCATTGCTACTACCAGCAGTTGCAGATTTGCAATCCTAATATTTTTGTCCAATTGTTTAAGTTCACGAAATAGACGGATTTATGATATTTTAAAAAATTTATTGAACCAAAAATTAAACTAGGAAAAAGTCTGATATTTTAAGTTTAATTAAGCTGGATTTATCTATTGGTGACATCAAATGATATACGTACGGACTAATGAAAAGAAAGAAGAAAGTGAAACAAGACTCTCATTCAAGAAATCAGTGACTTTGCCTATAAATCCTTAGAAAAAGAAAGTGCACACGTATACTGTGGGCCAATTTAGGGTTCTTTTTCTGAGTTTAGTAAACGAAGATTTTAAACCCATTAGTTTTGGGTGCTCGGCCATTTTAGATTAAAAAGCACCTCTAAATAGTAATTTTTTATCGTTAAATTTTTGAAATCAAAAGCGCTGTTTGATGCCCCTGTCTATTATTACGGTTGGTTTCCTTTCGTGTTTTTATATGTAAGCAGTTTTGACGTAAATTAAATTATTGGAAGCGCTGGAGGTGCGTTACACGCTAGTTACACAGATTTTGAGCAAACAGTGTGACATGAAACAAACGTGTAGCCTGAAACTGGAATTATTATTTCACATTAACTCTCTCAAAAAACATTTGGGTTGAAAATTTGGTTCAAAAAAAAAGAAAAACATTCCAGGATATCGGCGGATTAAAAATTTGCAATATTTCCCCGTCCAAATTTCCCCGTCTGAAGAATTTTAAAATGAAATGTTTTAAGTTAATTTGATAAGCAAATCGTAATAACTGGGGTCTACATAAAGAAAGCAAAGCTGCTAATATCAGGGTAAAGCCCTAATTGTTTAGACTTTCGTTTGTTTCGTTGGAAGTTTCCCTTGAGTTTAGATAAAAATTAAACCCCCAGCAATTCACCATGTAAAGAATAACCAAATATTTTGAATCGGCTTATTGGAAAATCGACATTGATTCAAATTAAAAATATCTCAAAGATAAGATTTTTGTTCTTTTCTTCAAAAGTCGGAATAACAAATCCTCCTGAAGAAGACTGAACAATTAAAAAGTATTAATTTGAGTTTATTTGAGTTGAAATTTGTTTTTTTTTTCTGATGAGTCTTGGATTTGCGCATGGAATTGTTGTTCTATTAAACTGTAGCTCAAAATCATCCATGCGTATATTCAACAACCTTAGCTTTTGTTACCGAATCTTTTTTTTGATCTCATGTGCCCGAAAGTTATCCCACATATTTAATTGTTCCTCGATTGTCAGAGTGTCACAGAACCGCATTCCCAATTTGCCCAGGTTAAGGAAAATTAATGAAAGTTTACCTAAACTAGTCATCGTTTTTTTTCACATATAACATCAATATTTTTGAAGAAAAAAATGAACAATTGTTGATTATCATCCTTGGAAATCCAGATAAACAGTTATGATTTTTTTTCAAGTTTTTTATCATGGGTTAAATAAAAAATAATAATATATTTTTTTTAAAAATGGACTTTTTTTCTTCAGCACGCAATTTCTCTTCTAGAGATAATAAATTCTTTTTTTGACCTAATTGATTTTACTAAAACTTTACTGTTGATGAGTTTTATTAGTGATTAGATTATCAAATCTAATAAGAGTTTTGCGGAGAGGGTTGAGAAGGTTGTCAGAGTTGAAAAATTGGTTAAAAAAATTGTGTTGGTGGTACTTTTTCAAAACTCTAAGCTAGTTTGATATGTAAAACAAACCACATTCCATATTTTGGTTAACTGGTGTAATCTGTTTTATGTTTGCAATTCGCTTTTTACGGTGCTATTTTACTAACGTAACTTATGTTTATTTATAGGTAACTTAGGTTTATTTTTATTTTCGCGTTTTGGATTTATGGTAATATAACACTATGATGATTTGTTGACATAATCCGTCTTTCTAATTCTGCATTCATGCTGATATTTTAGTAACACAGTCATTTAAAAGTTTATGTTGAAACAGAAATTAAAAAAAAGAGCTTTATTTTAAAAAAGATTGTGAACTCGATTCAAAACATCCAGCATACTAATAAGTTGAGTTTTTATGTTTCAAAATGAGGAATCAAAACTTTGAAAGCATGAATTTCAAAAGTTTTAACAGAGTTTTTATAGTTTGTTTTGCTTTTTATCGTCTGGTCTGAAGGTAGCGCAGCCAAATCACAGCATTGCGGCCATGTCAGAAACAGTTTGTATGTCATTTGTATATCATCTTGAGACGGCGGTCAAATAACAGAAGAATGAGATTTTTTTGTCCGAAGTAGTGAAACTGAAAATGTTTTTATAAAATTGAAACAAACGAAAAATTTGGAGGCCAAAAATTAGTTGTCTCATTGTTAAACCTTTCAAAAATTTCGCTTCAGCTAAAATCTGAGAGCATTTTGATTGTTTTTTTTGGCATCTGATTTCTGAGAGATAGATCGTTAAGATAACTCTTTTGAATTTGATCCGAAAAGAATTTGAAGTAGGGAGTCTGCAAATGTGCAGTTATAAAAGCTACTGGAACACATGTATGTTGCTTCGGTAGATGCGAGTTTATAAGTCAGTATTCACCGATATCATTTTTTTACGGATAAGATGCTATTTTGAAGCAATTTAGAAGGAGATAGTGAGCATAACTCAAAATTAATGTCGAAGCTTGGTGGTTTGTAGTGGCTCCAAGTTTTGCTCTTTTTGTATTTGTACTGCCAGTTTGATTTCAAGTTCATGTAAACTGGATGATTGTTGGACAATTGTATGTTCAAGATTTACGTTAGGCTGAGAACAAGAAGGTATAATATCAAAATATTGGATTATTAGTCTTGTGCAATTAATTTTTACACTAGAGAATGTAATTTCTATTTTCGAAATTACTTGGTTCTACAGAAGTATTACTGTTTGTGACTTTTGCCCTTGATTAGATTATCAAATCTAACAAGACTGTTCGAATCAGGGCGAAGCCCTGAATGTTCCGACTGCTTTTGAAGGTTTATGGAGCAGCAGTAATAACATAAAAACATTATATGAAGTAAAATAAAATGAAATTTTTTTTCCTTAAATTTGAAATTTTTTTATAAAAATCATCCCCCCACACGCCATATAACGTACAAAAAGATAGTTTTCGTTCCTTGTAACACATCAATAATGGCAAATAAGCTTCGTTGAACTAATTTGGAACGATTTATATGACGGATTAAATCTCCGCTTACGCGTTAATAGCGCGAATTATATCGCGCGTTAATTGTCCCAAATTGGTCAAAATGGCCAAAATGGCAATCTTTAAACCCTCATAATTTTACAAAAAATGATCACAGGTAAAATATCTTTTCCAATTTAAGCTCAGGACAACAATACCTTTTGAATGATTAAAAAAAATTACGTCAAAAATGGCTAGTTGAAAAGTCGAAATTTGTCTGAAGAAAAAAAACCCACCCCGAGCACAAATATTCCGTTACTTTCGTATCGAAAGTCGGAACAATAAGAATTTTGCTGAGAGGGATGAGAATGTTGTCAGACTTGAGAATTTTATGCTGTTGGTTCTTTTTATATCTCTTATATATTCTGATATGTAATATCAACCACATTCCATATGCTATTTGGCATAATCTGTTTTATGATGTTTGCATTGGCATTTCATGGAGATATTTTACTAATGCAACCATGCGTTGCTTTACTTTCATATTCGCATTCTGCAGTTAGGATATTATAACCAAATGATGGTTTGTGGACCGACGTAATCAGTCTTTTTCATTCTACATTCTTGCTGATAATTTACTGAAATAACCATATGTTGATTTATGTTAACACAGAAGTTAAAAATAATAGTTTTATTTTTAGAAAAAGATTCTGAATTTTTTAATTCAATTCAGAGTTTCTCAAGTTCATAACAAGACGAGCGGATCGGTCAATAAATATTTTAAAAATTTGCTAGGTGCTGAACGGGAACCGAATGTATATTCCATAAGTAATAACGATAATGATAATTAAAGACGAACTCCGTGAATTAATTTGAAGTGGATTTCAGTCGTTTCTACTGCCTCGACAAATACGAGACACAGTTCCAACCTCTCTTGCAATTCAGTGGCACTCCAGATCGACAGGATCGACAACAGACGGAGGAGGAAACACTAGAGGTTGCTTCCGAATTCGAACAACTCCTACGGGATAAATGGAGCAAGATTAACATGGTGGATCAGTTCAGACCATCGCACTGCTGTGATGGACAGACGGGGAAGTATCTGTTCCATGGGTTCTCCAATCTCGGCATGACTCCCGAACAGTACATGTTTAAGCTCACAGACTACAGCGAAGATAACAAACCACTCAACTTTATTTCAGTTAGTACATTGATTATAGTCAAAATTTACTTCACACTTACAGATTTTACTGGAAACGTGTGGACAGTGTATTCTCTAGAGTTTTCATCTGACATTCTTTACTTCTTCGTTTCAAAAATTAGGTTTTAATAAGTTAAAGTCTCATGATCCGGTTTTTATATAGAAAAAAAAAATCAATTTTGACCAGTGCGGATTTAGGGAGTGGGGCGGGGTGTCTCTTCTTTGTACTATTTTGAGATATGCATTTTTGGCTGACTGAACCTAAAGTTTTTCTAAACCCTCTTCAGCGCCAATATACACTAATTTTGAGGGGGATCGCGCGCCGAAAAAGCGCCATTTTTGTTCAACATTTTCCAAAATGTGCCATACAAAAAGGCGAAGTTTTGGTAAAAATGGGGTCTTTATAGTGCTTTGGGACAGCTCCGGAAACCAATTTGATCGACTTAAAAATGTCGACAAAATTTTCACTTTTTTTGAAAATCCGCCCTCGAGAAAATCCTAAATCCACTCCTGATTTTAACCAAATTTGTTAGTAACGTGTCTTTAATTGAGATCTTGAAAAAATTTAAAACACTGGGCAACTGCAGCCCATGATTTTTATGTATGAGAGTAAAAGAACTCGCCGATTTTTGATGATAATTTCATTGAGATGAATTGTTTTTACTCGCGAATGTTTTCTCGGTTTGTTGAATTTTCACTGCATTTTTTGCTAAACAAGCGCTACTATGCTGATGATTTAGCATAACCGGATGAAACAAAGCAAAGCAGAATTTTCAAACTTATTTTCTTATTATTGGTTGAGTTTGGCCAAAAAATGATCAGGACAAGAACTGCATAGAATTTCACAAGTTTTTTCTGTTGCAATTTTTGTGCAAAATTTTGGAGCAAAATTACACCCTTAACAGGTTAACTCATTTGATTCAAAAGTAAGAAAGTAAATAAGGTTACTTGATGTAAGAATAATTTAAAATCACCCTGTTTAACTCGTTACTTTTAAAACAATAAAATTGACCCGTTTTACGGGTGTAATCTTTTTCCAAACTTTTGAAAACCAAAAAGAACCATGAAGAAGCTGGTAAAATTCCAAGTAATTTTGTTTACTTGTTGTTTTTTGACCGAACTAACGAACTTTGAGTAAAACTAGTTTGGAAATTCTGCTTTACTTCATTTTATCCGGTTAGTTTAAATCAACCATATAGTCGCTTGCTCAGCACAAAATGCAGTGAAATTTCAAAAACTTCAAAACTTTACTCAATTTTTTTTCAAGTTGCCAAGTAGATTTTCCGAGCAGTCTCACAACGTATTTTGACCAAAATTTTAGCGCTGCAGGTAATTTTTGAAAAAAAAGGTCAAAAAGGTCAAAAGGTAATTTTTGGAAAAATACTACATATTTTCCTTTTTAAAATTACTACAAATTGGCTGCCCCTGGACGAACGTGATCGTTCAAGTTTTGCAGAAAAGTGCGAAAAGTAGAGTAATTTCTTACCAAACTAAATCAATTTTCATAATTTTTAAGTACAAAAAAGTCCATGATATTG